GAGGCGGCAAGGACATGCACCGGTCCATGTGGGAGATACCGGTGCTGCCATGGAAGGAGGCGGCTGCGCGCTTGGCTGCTGGAGATGTGAGAGGAGGGCGTGTTAACCACGTGGACAATGGAGGGGGTGGTGATGACAGTGATGGTGGGCTCCTTGGGCATGGAGGGGCTGCGCTTCCAAGTGTAACTCCTAGCACGGGTGAGACGGATTGGCTCACCGCACACCGTCGCTTTGGCCACGTGGCGCTACCTCAGTTGCAGCAGCTGTTTAAGGAGGAAAGAGTCAAGGGGCTGAGGATAAAGGGGGAGCCCAAGGAGGTGGGATCTTGTGAGACTTGCTTGACCAGCAAGTTTTCACGGTTTCCCTTCCATTCGGTGGAGGGGAAGTCGAGTGACCCGGTGGAGCTCGTGCATGTGGATCTCGTGGGACCCATGAAGGTGAAGGGAGATAGTGGGGCCCTGTATTCTATGACCATGGTGGATGACAACACAAGGCTCACCTGGTCCTTTCCACTTGCAAAGAAGAGTGATGCTGCAAGGGTAATCATTGAAGAGTGGCTGCCCATGGTGGAGCGAGAGAGCGGCAAACGGGTGAAGGCGATACGTAGTGACCGTGGTGGGGAGTTCTTGGGAGCGGAGTTCCGGAGCTGGCTGAAGCGGCATGGCATCAAGCAGCAGCTCACCACGGCCTACACCCCTCAATCCAATGGCGTGGCAGAGAGAGCGAACCGGACCATCTTGGAGGGCGGGAGAACGATGTTGGTAGACTCGGGTCTACCCTTACGGTTCTGGCCCCTCGCTATTCGCCATGCCACCGTCATCAAGAACCGAGTATTGACTCATGTGGGAGGGCAGCATTGGGTCCCTATGGAGAAATGGAGGGGCAAGAAGCCTCTGGTGGATATGCTTCGAGTCTTTGGGTGCATGGGACTCGTGCACGTCCCTAAGGAAAAGCGTGACAAGCTTCAAGCGGCGGCGGTGTGGGCTGTTCATTTGGGACTTGCACAAGGGAGCAAGGGGTGGCTCATGTGGGACCCAATAGCCAACACCATCTTCACCACCAGAGATGCCAAGTTCATGGAGGGGCTCATGTTCAAGGAGTGGTTGGAGCGAGGGAGGAGCAAGGTCACCATTCCGCTCGGAATAGAGGTGGGAACGAATGACCCACTCTTCATTCCCATCGAGTTGTCTTCGTCTTCAGAGGTAACGGAGGTGTCACATGACTTGGGAGGTGCTGAAGGGGAGGCAGTAGAGGTGGAGGGAGTGTTGCAGCAAGAGAAGGCCCCTGTAGCTGAGAGAGGTGATGCCGAGGAGGAGGTGCAGCAGCCTACACCATCCCCTACTCTTCCACCAAGGCGGACAACCCAAGGGAAGCGTGGTGCTGTCCGTGGTGGAGCTAAGGAGAGTGCAGCCAAGGAGAGGCCCAAGAGAGCTGCTCACCCAAGAGATTTCCTCAAGTATGAAAGGCTTGGGGGTCCCAAGGCATTGCTGGTCCAGGAGGAGGAAGATGATGAGGAGAAGGGAGCCGAGGGAGAGATGGAGCAGATTTGTTGCTTCGGTGTCAACTTACCTCATGAACCGGCTTCGATGGAGGAAGCACTTGCTGGAGATGATCGAGAGGCTTGGTTGGCTTCAAGGGAGGATGAGTTTAAGAGCCTCATGGAGAATGGAACGTGGACCCTCACCAATCTGCCCCCGGGAAGAAAGGCATTGGATTGCACGTGGATATTACGTGTGAAGACCGATGCGGAGGGGAAGTTGGAGAGGCGCAAAACAAGACTTGTGATCAAGGGTTTCCAGCAGAGGGAGGGGGTTGACTTTAAGGAGGTGTTTGCTCCTGTTGCCAAGGCTCCTACGCTCCGGGTGTTGCTGGCAGCAGCTGCCGTTTGTGGTTGGAAGGTGGAGCAAATGGATGTGAAGACGGCTTTCCTCTATGGCGTGGTAGATGAGGAGATTTACATGAAGCAGCCAGAGGGGTACGACGATGGGAGCGGACGTGTTTGCAGGCTCAACAAGGCCATCTATGGCCTCAAACAAGCTCCAAGGTGCTGGTATGCAAGGCTGGTGGAGGCGTTGGAGGCTCTTGGCTTCAAAGTTAGCGGGTGCGACGAGAGTCTCTTCATAACCGAGGGGGATGAGGAGAAAGTGTTTCTCCTTGTCTACGTCGATGACATTCTCCTCTTCTCTCCATCCCTGGAGAGGATCAAGGAGGTGCAAGGGAAGCTGAAGGAGACCTTTCAATGCAAGGCCCTTGGACCAGTGGGGTATTACCTTGGTCTTCACGTGGAGCGGGACGAGGTGAAGGGATGGTTGAGGCTTCACCAACACAAGTACCTTGCAGCCATGGGGGAGAGGTATGGGCTGGAGGAAGGGAGGAGTGTAAAGACTCCACTACCCTCAGGATTTCAGCTACACCTTGATGAAGAGGAGGGTGAGGTGTTGGAGCCCGAGTTGCAGCGTCGGTTCCAGTCAATGGTGGGGAGCTTGATGTATGCTTCGGTCAACACTCGCCCCGATATTTCATTCGCGGTTTCGCAGCTGGCTCGTGTGGTGTCTAGGCCCCTTCAAGAGCACCTTGATGCAGCAGAGAGGCTGGTGAGGTACTGCATGGCAACCTCAAGGGTGGGGCTGCAATATTCAGTGCATGGGCAGCTGAAGCAAAAGGGAGTGGAGGAGGTGAGCACGAAGACCGGTGCACCTGCAAGGCGTGGACACTTGTACCTCTCGTGCTTCACCGATGCTACCTGGGCAAGTGACATCAGTGATGCAACATCCCACGGTGGCTATGTATGCTGTGTTGGAGGGAGTCCAGTGAGCTGGAAGTCTAAGAAGCAAGGGGAGATAGCTCACTCATCAACGGAGAGCGAGTACATGGCGTTGTTTCATGGGGTGAAGGAGGTGGTTTGGATGAGGAGGTTGCTTGAGGAGTTGGGGCAGGAGCAAGAGGGTCCTACACCTGTGTTTTGTGACAGCCAAGGAGCAATTGCAATGGCTCGCAATGCTGTGCTTCATGGGCTGAACAAGCACATGCATATCAAATGGCATTGGGTGAGGAAGGAGGTGAAGAAGGGCACGGTCTCCTTGCACTACATCAACACTACCAAGCAACCTGCAGATTTTTTTGACGAAGCGGCTTGCAGAGCATCAGCATTGGACCTGCGCCACCTTGTGTGGCATGTCCTTCAACTAAGGGAGGCAGCTTCAGGGAGCAGCTAAGGGATGAATGAGAGCACGATGAGGGGGAGTTTGTTGTGCCAACACATTACAGTGGCACGGTCATCGCACTCCCATTCAGCCTACAAGCCTGCTCAGCTTCTGGAATTTTGTGGGGAGGTTGTTCAACACGTGTTCTTCAAACCCTCAAAGTTTCAGAGTTTTTGAAGCAGTTACCAAGGCATGACAACATTTTATGTTTCAAGACTTATGGCATCCCGGAAGTGTGTGTTACTCCTTTTTGGTAACACCCGAGTTCACCATTTCGGCTGCTGACTCGTCTACCGAGATCTGATTGGTCTGAAATTCGGTCTGGAAGTCCTTTGCCCCGCTGTGCAAGTGGTCACCAAGTTTCAGAACAATCCAACATCTGAGCATTGCGTGACAGCTGCCGAAATTCACTGTTCCGTAGTCATGGTGCACTGTTGGCAGCATTTCCCTTGCCACCCTTTCATTGTTGTCATGCCAATGGTGCAGGGACAGAGAATGAGACAAGAAGTACAGGTGGTCAAGTGGGACTCTACAACCCTCCTTTTGAGAAGTGTGGTCTTCCTGGAAGCAACTTGCAAGAGGGTGCAAGTGGGAAGACAAGCTGACTCATGTTGGCTTGACTCACTATTGGTAGCCTTGAGTACAGCTCTGAACATCCAAGTGTGGTTGGCTTTGCTGACCTAGCTAGGACGTTTCCCATTCTTCTCTAGCCTTTCTCCCCTAGGACTCAACCTTCTCTGAGTTCCCAGGATGACCCAACCCCTTATGAGTCCCCTAGGCAATGTTGTACTCACCTCTTCCTTGCATCAATGAGAATACACGTTTTTTCAGCCGAGCTTACGTTTTCGTTCACTGCGTAGTGCACACACCTCTGATAATAGCAAGTAATATACCGTTGGAAAGCAGACACCTAAGGCTAACCGCTGTCCAAGTTTCAGCCTCGTATGTTCTCGGAGCTGATCGTCACGGCGTTTTGAACAGAGGCGGTTTGAAGACGTCAGATTCTGCTTAGGCGGTTTCATGGGCATCCGCGACCCCTAAGTGGACTGCAGACTATAACACTAGAGGTGCTGGAGTTACTGCTAGAGCTGGTGGTACTGGAGGTACTGCGGCTGCTGGTCCTAGAGGTGCTCGTACCAGGGGTACTAGAGCTGCCGGGACTGGTGGTGTTGGGGGTGCAGGAGCTGGAGACCCTACTGAGCCTAGAGCTGCTGGGGCTGGAGGTACTGGAGCTGGAGGCACTGGCGCAGGAGGCTCTGGAGCTGGAGGAGCTGGAGCTGGAGGCACTGGCGCAGGAGGCACTGGAGCTGGAGGAGCTGGAGCTGTTGACCCTGGAGCTGGAGGTGCTGGTGGTACTGGTGCTGGAGGCACTGTGCGGTCGCGACCGTATTTCGTTCCCCTGCTTCAGCAGGTTCTTCGTGTCCCGTCTTCTACTAGTCTTAGTCCTCCCCTACTGTGTCCACCGCCTGACCAGTCGTAGCCGCCGTTACAGCCCGCCTCCCCACTGCCTGCTCCTCCTTATACTGAGCAGTCCGGCAGACTTACAGAGCGTCATGAGCCTGTGTCTCGTCCTGTCTTGCCTGTTCGCACTGCTCGTCGCGTTCCTCGTTCACGTCCTCCTCCTGTCCCTGGCACGCACGCTATGGCACTTCGTCCTTCCTCTGTTCCACTGCGTGTTCCTCTGCCGCCTCCTCCTGAGTCCTCTCTCTCTGCCGTCCCTGAACCTGAGTCTAACCTTGTTCGTACTGCCAGTCCCACTGTCTCTCGTCTCCTCACCACTGTTGCTCGTACTGCCAGTCCACTGCTGCGTCTGCCCTCGTTGCTGAGCTGCTTGACTTTGCTGCTGCCTGTCGTCTAGACTACGCCACTGCTCTTGTTGCTGAGTCTGAGTCTGCCAGTCCTCCGTCCATCGGGGGTGAGTGTGCTCTTGGCACGGACGTCCTTCAGGACAGGCAGGAGGACTTTGAGTGTCTTGCAGCTGCTGTACCTCGTTTCGCTTCCTTGCTGCTTGCCCCTGAGGGAGACCCGGATGCACCAGACATCCCGACCCCGCGCTCTTACGCAGAGGCGATTACGGGTCCTTACTCCTCTTAGTGGCTGGCAGCCATGGATGCCGAGATGGCATCCTGGAAGTCCACAGGCACCTACGTCGACTCAGTTCCCCCGTCTCGGGCGAACATAGTCGATGGCATGCGGATTTTCAGGGTGAAGCGGCCGCCGGGTTCTCTGCCTGCCTTCAAGGCGCGCTACGTTGTTAGAGGCTTCAGTCAGCGACACTGGGTCGACTACTTCCATACCTTCTCCCCCACCCCGAAGATGACTACTCTTTGGGTGTTGCTGCACGTCGCTGCTCAGTGTGACTACGAGTTGCACTCTCTAGACTTCAGCACAGCTTTCTTGCAAGGCAGCCTGCACGAGGAGATCTGGCTGCGCCGCCCACCTGGTTTCACTGGGTCGTTTCCTGCAGGTACCCAGTGGAGCCTCCGGCGGCCAGTCTACGGTCTCCGCCAGGCACTGCGCGAGTGGCACGACACACTGAGGACTACACTTGCGGCTCTGGGGTTTACTCCTACTGCTGACCTGTCGCTGTTTCTACGAACCGACACGTCGCTGCCGCCGTTCTACGTCCTAGTGTACGTCGACGACCTCGTCTTTCCACTGCTGACACTGAGGCACTGACCCTTGTGAAGTCAGAGCTGCAGAAGAGACACACCTGCACTGACCTGGGTGAACTGCGTAGCTATCTTGGCTTGCATATCACCCGGGACAGAGCACGGCGCACCATCACACTGACTCAGTCACACATGGTGCACCAGGTTTCGGCTTCCAGTTCTCCTCGCCACAGCCCACTCTTCTGTCTACCAGCCACTCGCTCTCAGCTCCACCTTCGGACGAGTCCGTAGAGCCGAGTGGTCCGTACCCAAAGCTTGTGGGTTGCCTCATGTACCTGATGACTTGCACACGACCTGACCTCGCGTGCCCTCTCAGCCTTCTGGCTCGCTACGTAGCTCCCGATAGGCACCGAAAGGTGCACTGGGATGCTGCGAAGAGGGTACTGTGTTACTTGTGCAGTACGTCGGGCATGGGGCTCGTGCTTGGAGGACGGGGTCTAGTTGTCCTCACCGGTCACGCAGACGCTTCTTGGGTTGATGACTCAGCTACGCAGCGGTCGTCACAGGGTTACACTTCCAGCCTTGGCTCCGGCTCTGTTTCCTGGCGGTCTACCCGCTCGTCTTCGGTTCTCAGCTCCAGTTGTGAGGCTGAGATCTACGCTGGGGCCATGGCTGCACAGGAGCTACGCTGGCTCACCTACCTGCTGACTGACTTGGGAGAGTAGCCTCGTTCGCCTCCAGTTCTGTACGTAGACAACAAGGCCATGATTGCCTTGTGTCAAGAGCACAGACTGGAGCAGAGAACGAAGCACATCACTCTGCGATACTTCCTTGCTCGAGATTTGCAGCAACGTGGCCAGCTTCGTCTTGCGTACGTGGCCACTAGGGCCAACACTGCTGATATATTCACCAAGGCACTTCCGCTTGGTGATCATCAGCGCTTCTCTACTGTGTTAGGCCTTGTGCCTACTTTGCCTCACTTGCTCACTGCTTGACTTTGTTTGTACTGTGATCTATATATATACATGCATGCTTACACTTGCTAGGGTATGATCACTGTATTGTTTGTTCTCTTTTATATAACTCTGCATGTGAACTGGCCTTATGGCCCTTTGCTTGTGCTCGGACTGTGTGGTGACTTTGTGATCCACCCTGAGCTTGCTTTGCTTTTCTTGACTGGTCTTGTGACCACTTGTTCTCCCCCACTTTGCCTATGGGGGTGTGTCAGATTGTTATAGTGCTTACATTTGTGTAGGCTATAGTGGGGTAGCCCATATGGGGTACAACCCAATTAGGGTTAGTACTTGTACCCAACTGTTTCATAGTTCATTCGTTCTCGTTCATTCTTCTGATACCGACGCGACTGAGCTCCCCCACTGGGCAGAGCTGCTTAGGCAGGGTGTGGATATCTTTGCTCTTGATTATGATGCTATCCTTGCTGCCATGTATGCATTGACTGTTAGTGCTGAGGGTGACTGTTACCTATGTGTGCCGCCCGACCCAGGTATAGAGTCTGCTACTCTAGGTGCTAGTGAGTCTGCTGTCCCTGGTAATGCGCCTGCTGAGGCCTTGCACACCTTCACGCTTGACTCAGGTGCTTCCCGTTGCTTCTTTCGCGACAGCACCACAGTCACACCACTCCCAGCACCGGTTGCAGTCTCTCTAGCTGACCCCTTTGGGGGCCCGGTTCTTGCACATTCCTCCACTGTTCTCCTGTGTTCGGCGGTTCCGTCTAGCTCACTGTCAGGTCTTCACCTCCCCTCGTTCTCTACGAACTTGGTGAGCAACGCCATCCTTCAGGATGAATGGGTTGATACCTTCAACCCTGGAGGATAGCGTGTGGCGATTTGTACATGCTCCCGGACTGGCCGTCACCTGGCCACGTTCACCCGTCGGCCTGGGTCGAGTCTGTACGCACTGACTACTGAGCCTCCTCAGGTAGCTGCGTCTGCGTCCGCGTCAGGTCAGCTTTCAGCCCCCTGCTCGTGTCGCCACTTGTCACACCAGACTCTCCTCTGGCACCACCGTCTTGGTCACCCCTCCCTGCCACGTCTCCGTGGCATGCACTCCCGTCTCCTTGTCTCTGGTCTTCCCAGGTCTCTGCCTCCCCTCCCACCCTTGCCTGCCCCTCCCTGCCTTCCCTGTGTCGAGGGGCGGCAGTGCGCCGCTCCTCACTCCTCCTCGTTTCCCCTGACGACTGCTCCCTTGCAGACTCTCCACATGGACGTTTGGGGTCCAGCCCGCGTCCGTGAACAGGGCCGCGAGCGATACTTTCTGCTGGTTGTTGACGACTACTCGCGTTACACCACGGTCTTCCCCTTGCGCAGCAAGGGGGAGGTCCCTAATGTTTTGATCCCTTGGATCCGTGCTGCCCGTCTCCAGCTCCGCGAGCGGTTCGACACGTACCTTCCTGTCCTGCGTCTGCACTCTGACAGAGGTGGTGAGTTTGCCTCTGACCTCTTGCGGGACTTTTGTCGTGGGGAGGGCATCACCCAGTCGTTCACGCTTCCGGACTCTCCGCAGCAGAATGGGGTTGCTGAGCGCCGCATTGGCTTAGTCATGGAGGTCGCTCATACCTCCATGATCCATGCGGCTGCTCCCCATTTTCTGTGGCCGTTTGCGGTCCGTTACGCGGCGCATCAGCTCAACCTCTGGCCCCGTGTCTCCTTGCCGGAGACCTCGCCTAGACTGCGTTGGACAGGGGAGGTTGGCGATGCGTCGGTGTTCCGGGTCTGGGGTTCTCGTGCCTTTGTCCGTGGTACCTCCGCGGACAAGCTCTCCGCCCGCGCCATTCCCTGTGTCTTCCTTGGCTTTCCCCCTGACGCGCCTGGCTAGCAGTTTTACCACCCCACCTCGCGCCGTGTCCTGCCCTCTCAGGACGTCACGTTTGACGAGTTGGTTCCCTTTTACTGTCTCTTCCCCTACCGCACTGCCCCTCTCCCTCCCCCGCCGCTCTTCGTCGCACCAGGTCCTCCTCCGGTAGACCCCCTCCCCCCTTAGGGTCCTGCTCCCTCAGGTGTGTCCCAGGTAGACCCTGTCGAGCCTGTTGAGGTAGCTGTCGACTCTAGTGCTGCTAGGGGTGGTGCTACTAGGGATGCTGCGTCTGGGGTTGCTGAGTCTGAGGGTGCGGAGCCTGGGGGTGCTGAGCCTGAGCGTGCGGAGCCACGGGGTGCTGAGCTTGAGCGTCCTGAGCCTCGGGGTGCTGAGCCTGAGGGTGCGGAGCCTGGGGGTGTTGAGCTTGGGGGTGCTGAGCCTGAGCGTACTGAGCCTGGGGGTACTTTGTCTACTGGAGGTCCTCCGGGTGCCTTGTCACTGCGGGAGCCTCTCTCTCCACCGCAGCTGCGCGAGTGGTTTGCTCGGTGCTGGAGCCTTTGGAGTGGCACTGTTGGAGCTGGGGGGCCTGCCGCTGGAGGCTCTGGAGCTGAAGGCACTGAAGCTACTGGTCCTGGAGGTGCTGGAGCTGCTGATCATGGAGGTGGTGGAGGTGCTGGAGCAGCTGGTCCTTGAGGTGCCGCAGGAGTTGGAGCTGGAGGCGCTGGAGCTGGAGCTGCTAGAGGTACTGGAGCTGCTGGTCCTGGAGGTGCTCGTACTGGATGTACTGGAGCTGCTGGAACTGGTGGTGCTGCAGACGTTGGAGCTGGAGACCCTGGAGTTTGAGACATCGGAGGTGGAGGCGCTGGCCCTGGGGGTGCTGGTGTTGTTGGTACTGGTTCTGGAGGCACTGTGCGGCCGCGACCGTACTTCGTTCCCCTGCTTCAGCAGGTTCTTGGTCTTCCATCTTCTACTGGCCTTACTCCTCCCTTACTGTATCCACCGCCTGACCAGTCGCAGCCGCAGTTACAGCCAGCCTCCCCACTGCCTGCTCCTTCTCCTTACACTTAGCAGACCGAAGGTCTTACAGAGCGTCGTGATCCTGTGTCTCGTCCTGCCTCGCTTGTTCGCACTGTTCCCACTGGTCGTCGTGTTCCGCGTCAGCGTCCTCCTCCTGTCCCCGGCATGCACCATATGGCACTTCGTCCTTCCTCTGTTCCACAGCGTGTCCACCTGCCGTCTCCTCCTGCGCCCTCTCTGGCTGACGGACCGGACCCTGAGTCTAACTTACTTCGTGCTGCTAGTCCTACTATCACACGTCTTCTGGCCACTGTTGTCACTGACCCTTTGTTTGAGTCCACTGCTGCGTCTGCCCTCGTTGCTGAGCTTGTTGACTTTGCTGCCGCCTACGTTTTGACTACGCCGCAAGTCTTGTTGCTGAGTCTGAGTCTGACTGTCCTCCGTCCGTCGGGGGTGAGTGTGCTCTTGGCATGGACGTCCTTGAGGATAGGCAGGAGGACTTTGAGTGTTTTGCAGCTGCTGTACCTCATCTCGTGTCCATGCTGATTGCACCTGAGGGAGACCCGGATGCACCAGACATCCCGACCCCGCGCTCTTACGCAGAGGCGATTACGGGTCCCTACTCCTCTCAGTGGCAGACAGCCATGGACG